ATAACAGCATTTTTCTCATGTCATGATATGCTGGAATGCAGGGTATGCTTGTGTAAAATATTTTGTTTTATTATTATTTAATATATTATTCTGACTTCTTTACTTTGCTGTCTAGTTACAATGCTATCTCATTGTGAATGTATTTTTATTTGTTTTATTCTAAATAAACAACCTGACAAGACACAAGGAGAGAAGACAGGACTTGTGCTCCACTCAAAGGTCAAATTGGTAATTTTTTACGTGTTTGCTGGGTGTGAGGCATTATAATGAGGGATCATGCAGGGCCTTGATGCAGCAGGCTGTGCAGTGCTGCATAAAAATGCAGGACTCACTGAAGGAAAATGGCTTCACCAAAAACCTCTATTCATGTCCAGGGCCTGCAGCCAATACAATCAATTGTCCACATAGTTCAGGCTGCAAGAACAGCAGAAATAGGAAACAAAAAAGAAAGTCAGAGTACAGCTTTAGAAGTAGCTAATACTAAATCGGCTCCTAAAATGCTACTTTCCAGAAAGACTGGTGACGCTTCCTCTGGCTCTTCCACTGAACACATTTACATCTATATTTACATTGATTTGTCAAATACTTTAGTCCAAAGTGATGTACAGGTGGGACAGATAATACATCACAAGCATGCAGCTGCTAAGAGCCAGATTAAGTACAGATGCTGTTGAGCTTTCTATGAGTGACCTTTAAGAAGGGCGTGATAGCATTGGAACAACACTGTGATAAGCTATGCAAGTAAACAAATAAAATATAGTAAGTAAATATAACTGTGAAGAGAATCTGGCATCATAATGTGGGTTTTTTAAACAATGGAGTTCTTCAAGCTTGCTCAGAAGTAATGGGGACTGTACCAGTGAAGAGTACAGAGCGGGTTCCTATGCAGTGGTCACCCTTCAGGGAGGGCTCCCCCACTGTACCAGTGAAGAGTACAGAGCGGGTTCCTATGCAGTGGTCACCCTTCAGGGAGGGCTCCCCCACTGTACCAGTGAAGAGTACAGAGCGGGTTCCTATGCAGTGGTCACCCTTCAGGGAGGGCTCCCCCACTGTACCAGTGAAGAGTACAGAGCGGGT